GTGCATCCCAGCTCACACCCCTTCTGCCTGTCCACTTTCATCACTCGTGTATCCCAGCTCACACTGAAAGAGCCTTGGCTCCTTCCAGCCTGGGGTAGGTGTTCCTTGACTACACAGAAAGCCGATCATGGTTTGCTGAAGCTATGAAATAATTACATATTATTATGAGGTGACAAAGCGAGCTGAGGAGTAACATTGAGTTAAACAATCTTTGCTTTGTGGACTAAACAAAGCTCTCATCATGAATTTAGCAGGTGCTACCACTTCACTCACACAAACTCTTACAATACAAAATCACCAGGCTTTGTACACGTGATGAAAAGCCACACTTGCACATCACAAAAACCCATTTTTATGAATATGTGATGTATATTGAGAGTCCTCCCAACACACAGTGGAGTCATAAGAAGGGCTGTTGGGAACCAGGGACAGGAGGCTGTGTGTTACTTGCTCACCTCTCTCACCCCATTTACATCTTAGCTCCTGGATCAGAGACACATGAGCTTACCCAGACTGTCGCCCGAGTTATCTTAGCAATGCAGGGAAACTCTACAGTCAAGAACAACAGCTGAGGGAACATTTTCTCCTAAAATGGCTTAAACTCAGCCTGCTTCCTAAATTTAGATTGGTTTACAGCATGCATAGAATCTTAAAAGCCCTTGGCTTTTCCTACCAGATACTACCTCAAGAATTTAGATGTGTACACTATTACCCTGAGCTCTGTCTGGGAAGGAGTTGGGAAAAAAAAAAAAAAACAGGAAATTGTGTTGGAAATGGAGTGGTGACTGACATAACAAAAAACTTCCTAAATAACCTGACTACACAACTGCTCTTCTAGCTCCCTTTGCTTTGAAATGCTCTACTTAGAAGGCGTGGAAGATGGCACGATGAGCCCAAGGTCTGCATCCCTCCCCATACCCATGCCCTTCCTTTGCCACGTATCTTTTCAGTTTTTTTCCACCAAATAGAATATATTTCCCTGCCCATTGGCTTTGGTCATCAGAAGGAGGCAAAAGTGTAACAGCTGCAAGCCTCAGCCTGATAAGCCTTTGGGGACGCTGCTCTCCACTTTCACCACTGCCATGAGGAGGAGCGTGTGCATGGGCTGGCTGATGCCCCCAGAAGTGTCCTGAATCCCATCCCGTACAGGTAAGAGGCACATCTCACCCTGGTCTCGAGATTCTGCCTGGGCCAACTCCTCCAGGGACTGCTCCAGCAAATCTGCCAGCTTGTTGAGGACCTGTGAGCGCTCCTGGGGGCTCCGTGATGACCAGCCAGGAAAGGCTCTTCTGGCAGCCTGGACTGCAGCGTCGATCTTGGAGGAGTAAATGAGAGAGGATCACCTTAAAGCTATGGGCCCTGAGGGATGAATCCGGAAGCCACAGGTTCCTACAAATGTATTACTTTTTCTGTCTAATTTCAATCATTCAACATGTCCTGATCCTGAGCTACCCACAGGAATTTATGTGACTGGCAAAGCAAGAACACCACAAAAACATAGTAAGACATTCTATTGGAGAACTAAAACTCCTAAGTCCCCAGGCCAAGGGAACCCTAGAGAAACATTAAAAACTGAGCTCCGGACCAGGACAGGATGGAGGTTGGACACGACCCATTACAAACATTCCCTCTTGCAGTTTAGACACAATTGACCAAGACTAATGTTAAAACAGATATCATAAGACTGATAGAACAGACTCTGGCAGTTAAGACAGAAATTATAAACAGGACCTAAGGCCATGTTAGGCAAGGCCTAAGTCACCCACCCCTACACTTAGAGAATAAACTATGTTGTAACTGCCACAAGTTTTCTCTCAAGCACTGGCCACATGATAAGCACATTAAAACCATCAGATCTCACCCAAGTAACTTTCTAGAGTTTACACAGCTCATAAGTGGCAGGATCAGGATTCAGATCCATCTTTGTGGTTCCCACTGCCAAATTTGACCTGCAATGACACAAACAACCATTCCTGCTCCAGCCCAGCTCTGCCCAGTGGAAGAAACCTATATTGGCGAGGAGGGGATCTCTGGCTGAACAGATAGCTTGGGTACCGGGTTTGGGAGTTACATCCAAAAGGAAACAATATATGAGAGAGTATCAGCAAGGCCAACTCTCGGCCAAAGTGCCAAGTAGGCAAAATGAATTTTCAAGTTCTCTTCTTTCTCTCAGGCAATGTCTAAGCAATTCCTTTTCCAAAGCAGAAAATCCCTAGTCTGCATCTCACTCCTCTCCTCTTTGACACGGTCATGACAAATATTTATAATCACTTACAGCTCTCTTCCACCACTGGGCCCTGGCTCAGCCTCAGAGCCCTGGCTCACCCATAGGCATCTTTCTTGTGGCCCGTGATCTAACAACTGTCCAGCCACCTGAGCCTCCATTAGCCTCTCACACAAACCCTAACTCACACCGCTCCTGTATTTTCCTCATGCGAGCAAGGTCAATTTCAGCAGAGCTACAGTAAGTATAAAATGATTTCATCTTCGTTAGAAATTTCTGAAAAGATGGTAGCTTCACCCCATAAACTGAATCTCAGATGTGGACCTACAGACAGCATGAGGGATATGGTGGGTATAAAATGATTTCATCTTCGTTAGAAATTTCTGAAAAGATGGTAGATTCACCCCATAAACTAAATCTCAGATGTAGACCTACAGACAGCATGAGGGAAGAGATGGGGGATTTGCTGATCTCCACCACAAGGGAAAGCCATGGGGAAGCCTCAGGGCCAGCTAGCAGTAGGAGGGCAAATTTCTACAGTAAATGTTAAAATCTAATCTTCTTGTTATTCGGAAAATATGAGTCCATTCTTATGTTCTAAGTTGTCTTATGTCACATGTCATATGTTCAAGTAAAATCAAATATATATTAATCTATTATATATAAAAATATTAGCATAAGTTAATACTTAGGAAGTATTTAGTACATGCTAGATTCTTTTTTTTTATTGAATGGTAACTGTATACATCAATGCACTTTGGGGGTACATAGCCTTCATGTAACTTTCTTAGTTATTGTG